TGCTGAACCTTACAAAGCTGTGGTGCAGAAGCTGCCGTAACTCAAGCCATTCCCTGTACCTCTCAGGTCACACACCCTAAAGACTACTCATGAGGTTGAGGAAGTAGCAGAATTTGAACCTCCTGCTTCTTGGGCTCTGTTTTTTTGGCACACTGTTGACACGTCATTTTTACCCTCCACCTTTGATTCTCAATAATTTTTTATCCCTGTTAAAGAAAATCCAAGGTAAATTGCTTCTGTTCCTTCTTGAGCAGAGAAACCTTCTGCCACAGCCCAAGAAACTGGTAGACTGTGTCCTGCCATGTTCTTTTTCCAACAGACAGGACACTAAAAATCACTCACTGACAAAGGCTATTCTGTGAACATTTCATATCTTTGTCCAAATTCCATGGCTTTTTAGGTATTGAACAGCTGGTCAACAGCAGACCTTTATCATGACACCATTCCTGTGCTGTTCCTCTTCCGAACCATAGCCAATGAAACTGTCATTTCTTCCTTGGCATCACCACACCCTCGTACATTGATATGCAACATTAACACTGTCTCCGTTGCCACAGCTACCCTTACAGAAAGCCGTACCTTCTATGCACTGCAGCCTTACAATCTGTCCTGCACAAAGGTCTCAATACCAGCAGTCACATAATCTTAGTTACGCAAGAGGATCTCAAATTTCCTCTTGTTGCCAAAACTCCTGAAACACAGGCACATTTCATAACATCCCCTTATTCTTACTTCTGTCAGTCACAGTTCTTTCACGGGTTTCCTGTTTCTCCTCAGACTGGTTATTAGCTTACCTGGGGGTTTTTATCAACAGTACAGGTTGAATCTTACCTTATTCTGGTTTGGGGGGGACTTCAAAAACCGCAGCACCACACAGCGCTAAAGACAGACAGGAAAGAATATGGTTTCATTAGCATTTAAGTACATCATAATTTCTCAACAGCACAATTGTCTGATTCCCCAATCTACCTCATCACTTCAACAAGCAGCCACGCTGCACTTCCAGTCACCAAGTGCAACAGGGGAAATACTCCCGCAGCTCATAGCACTGCTCTGAAAGTCTGGTAAAACAGTATCAAACAAACAAACAGAAAAACGCCTTATCATTTTTGCGCCCTATCATTTTTTGGGGGAAAAAATGCAAGACCCACTTATATATCATCTGCTTACAATATGAGCACAGCACTACAAAATATTAAGGAGACATTTATCAGTTACCAGCAGTAGCTACACAGCTCTACTTATAAACATTGAAACTGGCTACTTAAACTACCATAAAGTAAACACATAACATGGGGACAAATGCAGCAGGTTTCAAAATATTTTACCTAAAAAAAAAAAAAAATTTAAAAATCACTAATTTTTGTCATTTTTACAATTCCTATCAGATTTTCTAACAATTTTAAATGCTTCATATTTTCAAAGTACACAAATTCTAAAAACATCCTCAGCCTTTATTTTTAAGAGCTCAAATAAAAATATTCTGTAGATGTCCTAAGTAAATTAAGCCTTTCTCCTTAAGCCTGTAAAGAGAGTGTCTTTCATCACAGAAGTCATCTTAAGTATCTTTCTCTCACTAAAATCTTGCTGAAATTAACCATTACACTTGGTAAATAGACTTTTCCTATTAAAATCAAATTTTGACATAGTATTAACGAACCTGCAGCCTTACTAGGCAAGGCAACACATAGCCCTGCCTCAGATCAGCCAGGCTAAATACCTGATCCTCAAGACATTTACTCCCACTGATGTACTTCAGCCTGTTCAGATATGATGTGGCTAAAAACAACCAGGCACGCCACAGGAGGCAGAGACGAACAGCTGTTTTCTGGAGTTCTCTCTTAGTCACTCAGTGTCTCCTTTTGGACCTTTCCTAGACACACCAGAAGGATTACATTCTATTGAAACCACTACCAAAACAGTACTAACACTCAGACTCCCTGACACAGATAATGCAGACAAAAAGTCGTAGTTACACTTCAGGTTTGTGGAATCTAAGCTTTTTCCCTGCCAAACAACTTGCCATTAAAAAACCTCCCACAGCATGACAGCACCAGATGTATTCCGTATTTCAGAGCTGAAAGCTGTCTCTGGACAGTGCTGAGTGGGAGAAAGCTGCAGTTATCTTTAATTGCTAACACGTAGAGAAAGAGCAGGAGGAGAAAAGAAAAGATGACAATGTGTAATCCAAAGCACTAACAAAACAAGACTGGGATTCAGACATTGCTAGTGAAACCCAGAAACAGCCCTTCAATATATAACAAGGGTCAAGCCTGCAGAAATCTTATAGTTCACCATATCTGGAAAACCTCTCAAGTAAAAGGATACTTTGCTGAATTTTGGTTCAACTTGTCCTGCAAGGTCTAAACAGCATGAGTGTCACAACAACTAGATAAATTCAACACTAACTACAATCACCTGGATTTGACAAGGCTGCTGGGTGACACCTACTCTTTTTTTTCCCCATTATGACCTAAGCACAGATAACAGAGCTTGGGTCTGATAAGCCTGTGTGCTGTGCGTATGCAGTACGTTATTTTTACAGTGTTTCAGCTGTTTGGATCCCTCGCTTTAAATTTTCATAAGCAAGTGCATCAGTGATGGAGTGACCTGATCATCACTTTAATCAGTTCAGAAACTTGACTCTGTAGCATTTCAGGGGTATTGTAGATACTCATCTATTAATCAGTTCCCAGCCAACAAGCTTCCAACCACCTCTCTGGAAAATCCGATTGCTCTCACAGGACTCAACTACAGTATTTGTTCATTACCAAATTGTTTCTGAAGAGGCATGCTAGGATAAAATGACCTGAAGTATATATAGCAAGAGAAGAACACACTGCTTGTCTAAAGATGTCAAAAGGAAACAGAGCCAAGTTCAAACACGACTTTTCAGTCACAGACACACTTCAACCACTCAGCCCGCACTGTGCCTTAGTAAGGCTATTAGATGACTAGAGAAAAAAAAAAAAAAAAGACCCACACTTTTTTCTGGTTTTGGGGGCAAGTTTTCAGCTAGACCCATCCCTTTGTGTAATTGAATACAAAGTTACACAAATACACTGCCACAGTACAAAGGTTAACCCCATCAGATGTCAAAGACACCAACTGCTTCAGAATTATTACCACTGAAAATATTGGCCCACATTTTTCATGCTATCGCATTACTGATTCACTTGACTGACTCTTTACTTGGAAATATTGTGGGTGGTTGTTGCCATGAGGTTTTTTGCCAGTTATCTTAAACGCCTTAGATTTTTCTGTATTTACAAACTGAACAAAGATACAACACGTTTATCTGCATGCAAAAGAATGGCCCAAATCTAGAAGAGAAGAGATTTCTTAAGACGTTGCCACTACTCCTTAGCACTCTGAGAATCAGATCAACTAGATCCTATTGCTCCCTAAATTTAATCTCTTCATGCACCTCTGTAAGCACTTCCACTGCTTAACATCACTTCCATTAATGCACTATTACCATCAAAGCGTTTAGTTAATTGGATAATAGTCCCATACATACAAAGAGATGAAAAAAACGAGGCTGCAAAATCAAGCAGAGAAAAAAAAAAAAAAAACCACAATGCATGCAGGTAGGCAAAAGTAACACATGATACATTATAAGGCTTCACTACTTCTGAAGAAGCCAGACAAGCTAGAAAAAGGGTGAAGAAGTGGTGTGAAGAAAAAAATTCTTCAAAGGAAGAATTCTGTCTACAAATTTTTTTTTTTAAATTCTGCAGCCCTTTCTCTGCAAGTACGTTCAGTATCCAGTTAGTGACAAAAGACTAAAGGAAAAAAAAAAACAAAACCCAAGAGAGCATAGCAGTCTGGTAACAGATAACAAACCACATTCTTACTGGCATCCAGGACCATACTAGGACTACAACAAAAACCATTTCCAATTGTTATGGAAAACTCAAAAGAAATGATAGCAACAAGGATACTTGTGTGTCTCCAAAAAATTGTGTCTCTCAAAACACACTCACTGTCTCTCGGCTGCCGAGATGATGTCATCAGGAGCCTATTCTCTGGAGAAGCGCTATCTCTAGCCACAGTGTTTTGAGACTCCAGCCTTAAGCTTATGGTCCCACCAAGAAAGGCAAATACTCCCTTAGAACCCTATCATGAAACAATTACTTGGGTTAAATAATAACTGAAAGTTAATGGTTGCCAATAAGGAGACAAGGAGCAGTAGGAGGGGCTGCGAAAATGCACTCAAAGAAGTCACTGGCATCACAGAAGCACACGGATGCATACACACACAACTCTTGTCCCAGCGTACCTTGGGGAAAAATAATTTGCTGGTCTTGGTCCCCAGGGAGGTTATTGGCAAGAATTTTTCTTCTCCAAAGCAGTTACCACAGCTATTATTTTAATCTTACTTAGAGAAATCCAAAACCAAAGTAAACCTTAGTAGCTAGCCAGACTATGGCTAGCATCACTCCAGGTACCTTGGATTAGACAGTAGCATTATGAAACCAAGATAAAAGCTCATATTTATTTCTTTACAGCTTGATGTTTGATATTGGCCTTAAATTTTCCCAAAACATCTTCTAAATTTCACTACCATAAGATAAAGCTACCCTGCAGGCCTCCTGAACTGGACAATTTTCACAAGTTAAACACAATTGGGTCAAATCTATAATCTTCATAGTCCACTCAGAGAAACACCTCATTTGCATCACAGTTTTTTTTCAAGTTCCCACCTCTTGCTACATTATTAACGAAATCTATGTAACAGCTAGTGCCAGTGAAAGAAATAGGAAAATCTGTACAAAAACAAGCTCAAATGCTAGCGAAATTGCTTAGAAGTACAGAAAGACGTGCATTTTCCTTCTGCTGTTACCACCTCAGCTCACGTGGTTTTAAAATAAGCTTCTGTACAAAAAGATGAAGAATTAGCCTGTCCAAACACAAAGCCTGGGAAACATCACTTCAGCTTCTGCTTTTCCAAATAAGCTGGTTCGGGTCATTTGTTATTACTCTATTGTTAATCTAAACAGCATGCATTGACTGGTTTTGTCTAGAGGGAAAGGGTTACTCTAACAGCTAGTTCTGCAACTGCCCAGTATAACTAGAAAAGATTCTTAACTAGTTGATTACAACTTGTGTTCACGTATGCAAGATGTACTAGTAGAAAGAAACCAAGGCACTTTGGGAAGCAACTTTTTAAATCCCAAAAGGAAATCCACCCCTCTTCCCACACCCATCATCTCCCTCACTCCACACAGTCTCATAAATTGTGGTATCTAAACACTCACCAGTATTTTTGTAAGCACCATACGCAATTTTTACATCACGAAGTTACCTACCTGCCTCCTATACTCTGTTGTCAATACATTTATTTTGAAAAGGCACACGATATACAAGCAGAACAAGAAAACCCACATTTGTTTTAAAGTTCTCCATATAAAAGTCACAAGCTTCCAGTCATAAACAACATGGGGGAAAAGACTCCCAAAGACTGGTAACTAATCTTTCTCTACAATTATTACTATACTATTTGCTGCAACCAATTACACACACCACGACCGACTACTACCTAAGGAGATGAAGATATGAAGTCAATCAACTACTTTTAGAGAGAATGGTGCCTGTAAAGGCAATTGATTTTCTTTACACAGTAAAAACAGTTTGTTTCATTCATTGGCTTTTGCTGAACCTAAAGAGCTATCAAGAACTTAGCAAACACAGCTCTAAGCACGGCAAACCTTCTACTGACACTGTAGTTATTCAACACAACCTAATCATCATCGCAGATTTATGACAGCAATGACACCTACAAAAACCACATTCTATCTAAATTTAAATCAAAGGGAGGGAGAGGGGTTAAACTACACTGAACTGCTGTTCAAGCCCTGCTTGAACACAGTGATATG